CTTTTGGAAACTTCATGGGACCTTAGTTGTTTGAAAGTCTCTAGCTTGAAAAGTTGCTTGGGATTTTAGTTCTTTCATTCTCTGTGGCTCATTACCATTTGAGTAATGTCTGCTTGTTCACCCAACTGGCTCTAGCTTTCAGGAATAAGGGCCAAAGCCTTTCAGGCCTGAACAATAACTAAGGTGGTCAGAGATCCCTGTAGTCCAATGTAGAAATCACACGCTGTTATTGTGAATCCCATGTATGCTCAAACTATTTTGCATGGCAGAGAGACAAAATTGACTGGTGTAGTCTGGGATGTGTAGGATTGTCTATGTTGTTTGCAAAGCTAAATTTCAGTGTCAGCCCTTGGCCATGGATTATCTTGGATGAGGAAAGACCAAAGGGAAGCCAAATAACGTGCAGGGATCAGCTGAACTCTTCTTCCTTTCCTTTCCAGCCCCACCTCAGGCCCCCTCTTCCTGCCTCATTAATTGTCTAGTCTTGATCTACTGAGCTTAAAAACATGAGTAGAATGAAGATGAGAGGGAAGGGCTATGGGACACACATGGAAAACAGGTTGAAGAAAAGAGACAAAAACATCTAATATCACTTTACAGCTTGCAAATTGATTTCATTTACATTAGCTTGTATACTTATCTGTTTAATAGGTAAAGAAACTAAGCGCCAGAAATATGAAATGACTTATTTGTCCAGAACCACAGAGTTAATCAATGTCAGAACTGGGACTTGCATCTAAGTCTTCTCACTCCAAATCCATTGTTCTTTATACAAAAGGCTAAGGCATCAGCCAGCACTATTAATATATTCGAAGTGTTTTTCCTTTGAAATATACCATGATTACATTGCTAGACTTGAAATTATGGATTTTTCTAAGAAGATTAGTGCTATGTAAATATTAACTACTATCATCATTACTATTATTATTGCCACTAAAATCATCGGCTATGTAGGGGAATTCATTTTATTCTGTTCAATAGCCTAATGTCTTTGGTCAATAAAATATTGTACACATGCTCAGGAAGCATAGAAAGCAGTTAGGTAAACATGATGAAACATCATGTGATGGGTTCTGTAATGGACTTATGTCTAAGATAGGAAAATAATATAGAACAGTGGTTCCTAAACTTCAGTATATACCCGAATCACCTGGATGGCTTGTAAAAACACAGATTGCTAGGCTCTGGCCCTCAGAGTTTCTGAGATGGGGCCAAAGAATGTGAATTTCTCACACGTTCCTAGATTGGTGATGCCACCCATCAGAAAAACATAGTTTGAAACCTGGTACTACTTCCATCTGGGAGGGTCAAAGAAGATGTTATAGAAGTGATACCCAGGTAAAGTGTAATTAATTAAAAAACAGTTTGCCTAAAAAAATGGGTGGAATGACATTCGATGTAAGTGGACTAGCATGCATAAAGGTATAGACAGGTAAAACAGTAGACAGAAATTTGGTATCGCCACCATCAAAAGATAAGTAGACAACAATGAGAGATGAGTCTGAACCTGTGGAGAGTTTCATGTGCCGTATTCAGGCATGTGGTTTCTGCCCTGTAGGCTGTGCAGAGCCAGTGCAGGATTTGAATGAGAGAAGCACCTTGGTTAAGTTAGCATTTTAGAAAGTTGATGAATTCTAGTGCAAGTAGGGAAGCATGGTGGAAATTTCCACTTACTTAAATACGAAAGAACTCCTTTGAATATTTCTAATCAAGCCCAGAGATTAATCAGATGTGTGTACATCTTGGTATTGCAGTCAAATAGTTAATACGTCCCTGTGTGCCATGCATGCAATATATTAAGTCAAAGATGTTGTCCTTTCCCCCAGGCGCTTGTGAGAGCCAACACTAACACATAGGAAACAACAGAGCATAAGGCAAGGCAGATTTTCCAACAGCAGAAAAGTGGAAGGTCAGGAAGGGACGTAGCAATCAGCCGGGGTTTCATAGAGAAGGCAGACACAAGCTGGCCTTGCAGAAAAGTTCTTGCTTGGCCAGAGGGAGGCATGGCAGGCAAGGGGGACCCCAGAGTAAAGGAACGGAAGGGGAACTAAACTTTGAATGCACAGGGACATAGAAGAAGCAGAGGCAGCTGGTCAACCTTTGGCAGAAGCTTTTCTTAAAACATGATGGAGTGGATCCAAAGGGCTGTTTCTACAAGACAACCTTTGGGAGTTTTTTAGAAAAAGAATACATGAGAGCAACACAGAGGTAGGCAATATAATGCTTCTCAATTATCTGCAATCCTCTTTCAGTGTCCTATCACCCAAGGGTAATAGGAATCCAGGGAACAGAATATAAAGGCTTGTGTTAGGGGCAAGGGACACAGGGAAGATATATTGAGCTTTGGTTCTGATAGGGCCAAAATGACAACAGTTGCTGCCCTGGGAGTTGGCCATTGTCTGAGAATGAGGTGGTTGGCGATCTGACAGCTTCATATAAAAGGCCATCTGCCCTGTGTGCTGGGATGAAGGCCTTGGATGCCCTCCCTTTCAGCTCCCAGATGGTAACACAGTGCGTTCATGCAAGGGTAGACTTCCTGGGTCAAGTGCTTATTCTCATATTTAGGGAATAAATAGGGAAATGATTTTGGATGTTGATTATGTGAGTTGCATGTTTCTTTTTCATCTCTTCACATCAAAACTTAATCATCTTTGCAGCATCCCTTAAGTACTTAGCTGAAACAAATCTACAAATTGATTTTTTTCTTAAAGTATCTTTATAAAAAATGGTGGATTTTTCCACAGTGTAAATTGGAAGCCATTGCTAAATTTGACATTTATATACCCTTACAATTTTTCAAAACTTTGATTTTTCTGGCCAACACATCATCCTTTTCTTTGATTGCTGTACTTTTAATTTCCATTACCAGGAACAGCACATGATTTTTCCTTCAAGGTCATTGTTCCCAAAGAATTAAGATGTATGTATGCCTTCACAGAGTGACTTCCTGCCTGACCATAGTGGAGAGGCAAAGCCACCATGGGTGATGTAGGTTGAGGTAGTGGATGGGCATCAACTAGGCTTGTCTCTGCCTGTCGCTCAGTCCCCACACCAACCAGGCAACCATGCTGTTCAAATTCAACCCTCATCAAGTTAAATGTTACTGTACACTGTAGAACTTTGGGAAGAATTGAAGTACAGCTCATAAATCTGAGATTCTGACATGCTTGACTTTGGGGTAGGAGTAGCAGTTAGGATGCATATGGCTGGAAATACAGATAGCAGCACACTGGCTTATTCAAATATAGGTCTTTAAGCCCATTGAGCAACTTTATTGAATGTATCATTAAATTACAGTTAAACACAATCAGTCTTAAATTTCCTCTGTCTAAAATTGTGCTTTGGAAGAAGAGAGAGAGAGAGAGAGAGAGAGAGAGAGAGAGAGAAACTTTGCCAAAGGATGCTTTCATGGGCACATGGCAGCCAAAACAAGAGGCCCGATTTTAATTGAATTATAGACTGTGTAATTATTTAACCTGTACCAGCTGGTCTCAGGAAGCTACCAGATTCCTTGGAGACCTTGTACTTCGCTAGAAACATAAGGTACCTTATTAGTAACTACCCCCCCCCCCAAAAAAAGTGCCTTCTGTACCTGTGTATCCTCAACCTCCAAAGAACATAATGTAGGAGGGGAAAAAATCCTTGAAGTTCATTTTTGATTTAAGAAGCTCTCCCTCTCTCTGAGTGTGAGCGGATTTGCTAAAGCACCCGTAGTCCTCTGAGGAATGGCCAACACAAACAGGATGTTATTGCATCAGACAGGTAAGAGTAATTTCTCTAATTAGTCATTTGAGGTTTTATTTTTCACTTGGAAGTACTGGACATTTAATTTGTTTGTGATATGAAATTGACAAATTGACAGTAGCTACAACTGCCCCTCCCTCTGCCTTGCTGTCCGGATACCCTGTGGAAAGCACTGGGAGAGGGGGGTGTCTCCATGTAGACACTATGCTTCATCTATCAGCATCAAGCTAACTAACGTACCTTCTTATTGACAAATGTGCCCTAATTACACATTCCCCACTTGTAATACTACAATAACCCTAATGAGTTTCCATGATCATTTTTCTTTCAGATTAAGTGTTTTTTCTCAATCCTCCTAAATTTTGCAACAGTGAAATAATTCATAATACATTCTCATTTACATAAGAACTCGTTTCCTAAAGGTACAGGGCAAAATATTTCTAGGAAGCTGTATTTTATGAATTAAGATATGATTGAAAACAGCCCCTTGATTAAAGAAAGGGTTCATCCTTTAATTTTGTTTTAAAGCGCCCTTCTCTAAAGAAAGATTGATTGGCACCAAGCATAGTTCCCATAAATCATAGCTATTGATTTTACATTTGTTTGAGCTCTTCTGATTTTATGGCCCCTTCTGTCATAATTTGTTATCCTGAGTTGGTGCTGGGCATGAACCTGCAAGGTGGTTTCTTTCAGTTTAGTCTAATCTATATGTGAAACAGATGAGCTTTCAAACACATAACCATGCTCCCCTAGCTTTTTATAACATTACCCTGGTATTCCCCTGGGCGATTAGTAAAATCCTAGGTGAGGGGCAACATTAGGGATGTTTGTGTAGTTCAATCAGTTTAGACACAGCGGTGGCCCCTGGCGGCCCTGAGTGCGGCAGGAAGCTGGATGCTTCTCCCCCAGGCTTTTCACACATAGATTCGTTCTTAGGCTTCAGAATGCAAGTACAGTGGCCACCTTCTGGAAACCCTCAAGGTCAACGCATCCTTCCACCTTCCAAGTAGCATAAGTGATAGGAGATAGAACATCCAGCCCTCTTTTTAATCTGCATCTGCTTAGATGCTTGTAGGTTAGAGCTTGGGATCACCCGGATAACCAAACAGCCCATTTAGGGTAAAATTAGCTAAACATTCTGGATGTACTCAGGTATCATTTCTTGTGTTTTGATTTTTCTGGCCAGTTTGAATGAATGTCATGCTGTCATTTTAAATTGTTATTTTACCCCCTTTCTCCTCTGGCTTCCCATTTAGTACTCGGTCACATCCCTCAAGACCATCCCAGAACTGTGCCGAAGATGTGACTCACAGAACGAAGACAGATCAGGTGGGTTTCACCTCTCACCTCTCCACCTTATCCTGGCTCTCAGAGTGTGGGAGCTGCTCCCCACCCAATGTTTGCTCTGGCTTTCTGTTTTCATTTTTTTTTATGGCTTCTCCACCCTAGATGCTAGGTCCTCCTCCAAACGCTGACAGGACAGGGAGGCCCTGATGAGATCACGGCTGTATACAAATAAGTGTAGGCGATGTCTCGACAGCCCAAACCACAGTGTTCGCAGCAATTTACTGAAAACCCAACAACCATTGGTGACAAAACATAATGATGCAGGCGCCAATGAAAAAATGTTGGATGCATTTGCTACCCATATGGCAAGGCAGCCTGGGGGATGGTGCTTGGCCAAGTCTGAAACCCTATCAGGGATGCGACATGATAGAATCTGCAGTAAGGCATACTGTAACAGTTAAGATTAAAGCAAAGCTTTGGAGTTTAATAGTGCAAACTAAACAGAGAATTTTGGCAGATAGATGAAAACCAGCTGCTTAACCTTTTCTCCTAGCATAGCCCACCACCCCCGACCAAAAAGTACATTCAGGTTTGTTTTCCCCTCTGTAAATCAAATTAAACTTCCTCCTTTTCTCTCTGTGATGGGCAAAAATGAAAATAAGAAAGGATATTGATGGGAATGATACCATAGCATCAAATTAGGAAATGATGTTTATTATTTTTCCAAGTAATTACTCTAAGGCATCACCATTAACCTTGCCAAAGCCGACTTCCTCGGATAGTAACTAGAGTCCTGAGAACCATGGGTGATGGAAGGCTTAAGATGATCCTTGAATTATGTGTATTACACTTAAAAAGAAATAGATGGTCCTTACCTATGCAGCTACTAGATTTCCAAGACTTTCTCACTGAAAGGACTTTAAAAAGGCATCACTGGGTTCTGAGTTGAACTTCTTTGACCACAGTGGACAGGCCGCCAGCCTCTGAGTCAAAATACCTGGTTCAAGTTAGCATTCAGTCTTTTATCAGCTATCCGACCCTGAGCCTATGACTAATTGATCTATAAAATAAAAAAGAGACTTGTTCTGCCAATGTTACCAGACTATTATTGGGATCAAAATTATGTAATATATCTGAAGGTACTTTGTAGATACAATATTTTCTTTTTTCATTAATTGGGGTTGGGGAGTAAGGGAGAAAAAAAGAATAGCAAACACTTCAGTATTGCTTCATGTGTGCTTAGGTATGGTTGTAAGCACTTGACTAACATTAGCTCAGTTACACATAAAATCCCTGTGAGCTAAGCACTAAATTGTTTGTATTATATAGATGGCCACACTGAGACACAGAACAGAGAAGTTAAAGTCTGGTCAAGAGCACATCTCACAGTTGCAGGTTCAAATTCCCAGTCCTAGTCCAAGCAGGCACTGGAGGCAACCAGTCGATGTGTCTCTCTCATAGCGATATTTTTTCTCTCTCTCTGTCTCCCTCCCCTAAAGTCATACAGCATTGGAGTTACAAACCCCAGAATACTGACTCTGCCTCTAGAGTCTGTATAGTACCTCTCAAATAGTGGGACTTAGTGGCATTCATTTAATTTTAGGATATTATCCTTTTAAAACTTTAAATATCAGCATTCCCCGTTCATCGATTAAGTAGTGAATTTCTTTTCTCTGTTAAATCTCTGCTCTTGCTTACCAAGTTAAGTAACTTAACTGAAGCTTTTAAAAATAATTTTTCCTGGTACTTGTTAATTCCATTTCTCTAGGTCATGTGACTTCTAGCCACTTCCACAATAGGTGATGTTAGACATTCTTTCTCTGGTCGAGAAGGAGGCTAGGTTCAAGTTCAGTAGCTTTAAAACTTCACCCAGAGCGAAGACCCAGTGCTCAAGATAATCAGAAATAATCAGATCTGATAGGAAATAGATAGATAGGGGAAAAAACTCTCATGTAATCACATGTACAATCCAATTTGATAGCCGTTTTGCGGCTGGCAAACCACTTTCTAATAGAGAATGGGCCTAGAAAAAAAAACAGGTGAAAATACCTGCCTCGCCATAGCATTGTGTAGAATGGTCTGGGCTCGTTTGAAAGAAATCTCAACATGGCAAAGTTTTCACAGCGCGTGTCAGAAAGAAGTGAGGCATTCTCCATGAGTTCCATGGGCATGCCCGCCTCCTGCAGCCCTCCAGACTGTCTGTCAGGCACTGCTCTGGGGTGCTTGCAAATTTCCTTCTTTATGGTGATTTTCCCGACAGATGGCAACAGAAAGCACCCTGGCTTCTGAGAAGAGCCCACATCTTTCTTCTGGCTGGGGCCCCCTCTGCGGAAACTTTTCCCTAAACCTCCTGGCACTTAGAATTCACTCCACCTGATAAAGACATCTCTCTTCTCCTTTCTAATGTTGGTTAAGCACTTTCTTCTTTGTGTAGGTTGTCAAATGTTAACGTCCAGCCCTGTATTAACAGGTTCTGACCAGATGGTCTTGGGTCCATTTGTTCTTTTATTGTTTCTTCAGCAAATAGTGGTTGAGTGTTCTCTATCCTGGGCACTGAGGACACAATAACAACAAGATGTAGACAAGACCTCACACTCTAGCAGGAGCTTACCTTCGAAGGCAAGGATGTCAAACTCAAAGGCTAACACGGGCCAAATAAACGAGGCCTGCGGCCTGTGGGCTGCGAGTTCGACATGCTTATTCCAAGGGGTGACAGACAACAGGCAAGCAAATGAGGAACTAAGCCAGATCATTTCAGAGAGTGATAGGAGGTGACTTAAACCATGTGATAGAGTAATTGTGGGACTTGGGGAGAAGGGGAGAGGGTGTGGGTCAGGCAGTGTTAGAAGGGCCCAGCCACATCCAAACCAGTGAAGAACACTGAAGTCAGAGGAATGAGCGAGTGCAGAGTCCCTGAGCCAGCAAAGAGCTTCCCATGTGCGAGGGAGAGAAAGAAAACCTATGTGGCTGCAGCATGGTGCTCAGAGTGAGGACAAGGTCAGGGTCGGGCTCTACAGGGCCCCGTCCATCACACTTGTGGAGTTCAGATTTATGCCAGGTACTGGAAGAGAGCCGCTAGCAGGGGTACAATTTTTCTAAAACCCTACTACCTGGAAAGAGACCTCAGCACATAGAATCATAACTCGCAAGGGAAGAAGGGACCCTAAAAATCATCTAGTCTGAGAGTGAGTGAGATTGCCAATAATAAAGCAAATGGGTAAGATGTTGACAATTGATGAATGTAGATAAAGGGTATACTGTGTTCTTTGCCCTATTATTCAACTCTTCTATAAATGTATTTACAGTGAAAATTTTAATTATTTACAAATATGTTTTATAAAAGGCAGAAAAACATTCATGTAGTCCTAAATCCATCAGATCTTCGAAGGTGATCCTTACTGTCCCTCCCGGGGGGTCATCCAGCCTGTACTTCATCACCTTGGTGACACGGAGCTCACAGCCTCATGAGGCTGCCCACCCATAAAGGTTCATTTTTTAAAAATTATAGCTAATAATTCATTGGAGTGACATTGGTTGATAAAATTATATAGGTTTCAAGTGTACAGTTGTATAATACATCATCTGTATCGTTCATTGTGTGTTTAGCACCCAAAGGTAAAGAGAGTCAAATATATGGCGACAGAAGGTTAATATTTTAATTCAGCCAAAATCAGTGTCTCTCAAATTTTCATCCCTTAATCCCGCTTCTTCCTTTGGAATGATAGATAAGGACACTCCTCCTGGGCAAAGGTGCCACTCAGTGGAGATGGCAGTCATTCTCAGCCTTGTCTTCTTCAGGTTAAAATTTCCCTCCGTGGTTTTAAGTGTATCCAGCTCATTCTTCTTGCACTTTCATGGATGACTGTGGTTTATCAGCATCCCTCCTAAAGTGCGGCACCAGAACTGAACCCGTGGTATCTCCATGCATGGTCTGATCAGAACCAGTCAGCCCCACAGATCAGCCCACGGTGGGATTTGAGAAAGGCAGATGCCAGAGTGTTGTCAGAGTGTTACAGTGTCTCTGTAACTTTAACTAGCTCACTGATGCCCAACAGGTCTGCCTTGGAAGTGCCCCTCCTCTGGCCAAAGGCTTTGATTCCTATAGAAATCTATATTCTCCCTTGGCATTAATATTTTAAATTATTCTTCATCAACTACACAGCACTAGGACTGGGTTTCAAATTGTGTGGGAAATGAAGTTTTGAAAAGAAGTGTGAAGGTAGTGGAAATACCACAAGATGATGGAAGGGAGGTAAAGAAAGAGGAGTTAGATGCGTGAGAACAAATTCTGCCTCTTCTTGGAGTTGCTCAGGTGCTATTGACAGTTCCCAGTTGTTTCTTGGGGCTGTAATGTTCCAGGCATGTTGCCAGGTCCTCAGTAAATAGCTTATTTGTCCTCAAAACAGTTCTCTAAGGGAAGACCATTATTATGCCCATTTTATTGGTGTGGAAACTGAGGCTCACAGAGGGTAGCTAATTTGGCCATAGTTCTAGAGCCTAGCAAGTGCATTTGAAACCATGTCTACTGAGCTACTGTGAAGTTGAGGCAACTGAAGAGTAATTTTAGCCCAAGGAACCTTGTATGGCTAGTGTTATGGGACAAGAGTTAGCAGTGTGGAAGTTGCATGTGAAAAAAATTGCACCTCTAAAAGAAAGTTTTTTGTGAAATGTTCGCATGTATTCTCTGCTTAATCCCTGCTACTCACGTAGGAGAAGAGGACAACACGAAACAGTGGGTGTTAACTCTGTTGTACGTTTTTGCCAAATGAGGACTAAAAAGGCTCATGTTGACATACAGTATTCAAATCAAACATATTCAATTACATTGACTTTGAAAGAAATTAGACATTCAAATGCACATGTTTTTCAATTCATTAACTGTCTGTGATTTTTCAAAATGTGTGTCTGCTGAGCTTATTGTATCATTTTCTTATGAAAGAAGGAAGATAAATATTAATTTAGCATTGCATCTGAGTACTTAGATGAGCTAAGGTTACAGAATCCGGTTGTGGAACAGTAATAAATGGCTTTGGCATGTGTTT